CGGCAACTTCGGTGTTTGAAAGTCAGTAAGCGTTAACTGAGCCGACTCCACTCGCTTCGTCGTGTTAGCTGTTGCTAGCTGTACATCGCTGTGGTGTCTCGCCATGTGAGCTCGAAGATTTGTCGTGTTACCTGAGTATTTGACCCTGGCGTGGCAGATTTTGCAAACAGCATGGGTTTTATCAAACTCCGTAGTCTTTATTTTGAAACCTGAAATGAGTCCACACTGCAGCTTTGAAGGCAGCGGGTGCCAGTCTAACTGTCTCAGACTCTGCTATTGGTACTTTCTGCTACCAAGCTAGCGTTAACTCTCTGGCTCTTTAGGAGTGGAAGAGTCAAGTGGCTGGCTCGCTGTTGCCAACTAGCGGCCAGAGGCTGAACTACAACATAAAAATGAACGGCTGGCAGGAAAGTTGACATTTTAAACCTTAATAAAAAATCGATACAGGGCTTTAGAATATCGATACAGTATCGGGGAAATGAAATATCGCGATAGCCACAGTCTACCGCCGTTAGCCACAGTCTACCGCCGTTAGCCACAGTCTACCGCCGTTAGCCACAGTCTACCGCCGTTAGCCACAGTCTACCGCCGCTAGCCACAGTCTACCGCCGCTAGCCACAGTCTACCGCCGTTAGCCACAGTCTACCGCCGTTAGCCACAGTCTACCGCCGCTAGCCACAGTCTACCAGCCAAGCTGCTTCTATCTCTCTGTCGTCCTTAAGTATGATGCGGTCATAATGCATTCACACTCTCAGAAGCTGTTTCAGGTAGAAAAATGTTTTAAATCATATATTAATAATAACAAAAACTAATGTACTTTGAATCTAACTTACTTTAAGAACCGATAACTTTCTCCTTCTAACGGCTGATAACATGCCAGGAGATAAGACTAGTCAAAAATGACTTAGATCATAACATAACAAGACCAAACCTAATGACACTGTAAATTATATTACTTGAAATAAACTCTTGACAAACATTTCTTAAAGTATATCAAACAAAACAATTTCTCAAATGGCCATTTTTTTTAAAATAAGGCACATTAATTATAAAAAAGACCTTTAACACTGATCTCAGATTTAAACAAACGAGAAAAAGTCATTTTTACAAGTTCAAAACAGATAATTCACTAACACTAGTTATGGTGCATCCCTAGCGGACATGTGCGGCGGCGCCGCCGACTCACCGCGCTGTCCTTGACCACCAGGCGGCGGTACGACACCAGCAGCTTCTCCAGCGGGAAGATGACCCTCCTCAGGTACRACTCRTCCTTGTTGTGGTCGAACTGCCACTGAGCATCTAGAACATCGTGCATCGTCACCAGGTTGTCCTGAAACCACACACGTCCTGTTAGCAGCACTGAGCCTCAGAGGGCGACACACACACAGGCGCGCCGCCCGTCACGCCTCCACTGCTGTCACTTCCTGTGCCAAAGCTTAATTACCCGCTCTGCACTGAGCAGCAGAGCCGGACTCAACACTTTGGACCTCACAGAGACAAAAACAACAACAGGTACCCACCTTCTCGCCCAKAACTCCAGAGCGGACCCTCCGCAGCTCCTGCATCTGACCCCCGACCCCGAGGAGCAGCCCCAGGTGGACGCACAGAGTCCGGATGTAGGTTCCTGCCTCACAGCTGACCCAGAAGATCCCTGAAACACAGCAGGTGGTCCTCTTTAGACCTCAAACCCACCCWTGAGAACAGAACTACACAATACCTTTACCTCAAACATTAAAACATCTGTATTGTGTGGAGCTGTTTCCATGTGGAATAAACTGCTTTCATGTTTAAAGATTAGCAAAGATGATTCTTTTAAAAAACAGATAAAAGTGGCAACTCTTCAGAAGAAAAACTGTATATTAGATATATGCTTAGCTTATATGTTTTTTGTATTATTTGTATATTTGATTGCATTRGTTTTTTTGTTTTTGTTTTAAGAACTAATATTTGTATGATTGTACTACCAAGTTTATTGTGATGTTATTGTTAATATGATGTTTTTATGTGAACCCCAGGAAGAAAGGTTATTGCTGAGGTTATAACTAATGTGGATCCTTAATAAAATAAACTAACCC